AAAATAGTTTTGTCAGGAGCAATAAGAATGAATTTACCAAATTGTTGCACCTTGTAATACTACTGTTGTCCTGTATTTTGTATTGTATTTGTGACTTGACTGCTATTGCAGCTTGTGTCTAGAACGATTATCTTGTTTCAGTGCACAACAAGGTCCCTCGCGTGTTGCTCCTCCAACCCCCACTAGCTTGGAGGGCGAGCCCCCCACACCCCTCATCCTTAGTGAGGGCAATGGGAGTGGTCCCCCCTCTGCCCAGGCTCCTCCAGTCCCTCACCCAGAGTCCTCCTCTTCATCATCCTCAGCCGTGACCAGCCCGGACCCCTCCTTGCCTTCCCCAACCTCCAGCCCTGCATCCCCACCTAACATTGGGCCCTCACCCTCTTCCTCCTTAGTTTCATCTGCTGTGGTCCCTCTCCTGCGGGGGCCTAACATGCGCCACCAGCGGGAGAAGCGGCACAGCTTCACAGGTGTGCGCACCCACAACCCCAGCCCTCCGCGGTCTCCTGCTTCCCCACACAGGTATGCACCTCCTTAGTTCCTGCTTATTGGTCTGAAGGAATGACACTAATATGGTCTTGGTCATTAATCACTTTAATGGTTTGTGGACTTTTTGTAAGGTTGAGGAATAGTGAAAATGAATATGTATGTGTTATGTCTGTGAATAGGTTGTATATGAAAGTGATAACTTGCATGCTTTTTCTGAGTGCATGCATATGCATTGGAACATGCCTGAATTTTAATGTCTGTGTATTTAAACTTTTTCAGTCCTGTAAATATGTAACCATTTCTAAGTTTATATATATATATGAACTAAGAAATATATACGTACACTTAATACACACTCTCTCTCTTTCTCTCTGTGCTATCTCTCTCTCTCCTCTCACTTTCACCTCTCTCTCTCTCTCTCTCCTCTCACCTCTCTCTCTCCTTCCCTCCTTCTCCCCTCTCTCTCTCCTATCCTCTCTGACCCTCTCTCTCTCTCTCCCCTTCCCTCTCTCCCCTCCTCTTCCCTCTCCCCTCCCTCCTCTCTCCCTCCCTCTCCTCTTCTCTCGTCTCCCTTCCCTCTCCTCCTCTCTCCTCTCCCCCTCTCTCTCTTCTATCCCTTTCCTCTCAGCCTGTCTCTCTCCTCTCCCCTTCCTCTCACCCTCACCCTCTCTCCTCTCCCCTTCCTCTCACCCTCTCTCCTCTTCCCTCACCTCCCTCTAACCCCCCCTCTCTCTCTCTCTCGTCTCTCTCTCTCTCTCTCTCTCTCTCTCCTCCTCTCTCTCCTCTCTCTCTCTCTCGTCTCATCTCTCTCTCTCTCTCTCTCTCTCCCTCTCCTCTCCCTCTCATCCCTCTCTCTCTCCGTCTCCCTTCTTCTCTCTCCTCTCACCTCTCCTCTCCTCTCTCTCTCCTCCCTCTCTCTCTTTTCTCTCCCTATCATCTTCCTCTTTCTCTATCCCTCTCCCTCTCCCCTTTCTCTATCCCTCCATCTCACCTCTCTCTCTCTCTCTCCTCATCATCTCTCCTCTCTCGTCTCCTCTTCTCTCTCTCTCCTCTCTCTCCTCTCTCGATCTCTCTCGTCTCTCTCTCTCTCCTCGTCTCTCACTCTCTCTCCTTCCCCTCCTCACTCCCTCTCTCCCCTCTCCCTCAACCCTCCTCTCTTCCTCTCCCTCTCTCCTCTCTCTCTCTCTCTCCTCCTCCTCTCTCTCTCTTTCTCTCTCTCTCTCTCTCTTCTCCTCTCTCTCTCTCTCTCTCTCTCTCTCCTCTCTCTCTCTCTCTCTCTCTCTCTCCTCCTCTTCTCTCCTCTTCTCTCCTCCTCTCTCTCTCCTCTCTCTTCTCCTCTCTCTCCCCTCCTCCCTTCCTCCCTCTCTCTCTCTCTCTCTCTCCTCTCTCTCATCTTCTCTCTCTTCCTCTCTTTCTCTCTCTCCCTCTCTCCCCTCTCTCTCTCTCTCTGTCTCCTCTCTCTCTCTCCCTCTCTCCTCTTCCTCTCTCTCTCTCCCCTCCCTCTCACTCCTCTTCTCCTCTCCTCTTTCTTCTCCTCTCTCTCTATCTTCTCTCATCTTTCTCTCTCTCTCTCTCCTCTCTCGTCCTCTCCTCCCTCCTCTCCCCTCTCCGCTCTCCCTTCTTCCCTCTCCTCTCCTCCCTCCCTTCCCTCCCTCTGCTCCCTCTCCTCCCATCCCCTCTCTCTCTCTCTCTGTCTCCTCCTCTCTCTCTCTCTCTCCTCTCTCTCTCTCCTCTCTCTCTCTCTCCTTCCCTCTCTCTCTCTCTCTCTCTCCCTCTCCTCTCTTCTCTCTCCTCTCTCTCTCCTCTCTCTCTCTTCTCTCTCTCTCTCTCTCTCGCCTCAGTCCCCCTCTCTCTCCCCCCCCTCTCTCCCTCCTCCCCTCCTTTCCTCTGCTCTCTCTCTCTCTCTCTCTCTCCCTCTCTCTCCCTCTCTCATCTCTTTCTTCTCTTCTCTTCCTCTCTTCTCTTCTCTTCTCTCTCTCTGTCTCTCTCTCTCTCTCTCATTCTCTCCTCTCCT